GGAGTGCGGAGATACCCTAGTCCCAGTGTGGACAGGCCCATTCTGCCAGGAAACCCTCCAGCAGGGCATAAATGCAACATACCCTCCCACAAGCACCTGGCATTCAGAGGTACACTGCCCCTACACATGGAGGTTCCACTTGGAGATGATAGCCAGCTGCCCAAGGCTTGTAGTAAAAGTGACTGGCCATAAGAGTGAAGGTCTATTCCATTGGCAGTAGAGTGCTTTCCCTCAAGGGCAGGAACCTTCCTCCACTGCAAAAGACTCAAGAGTCTTTTGGAAATCACCAAGTGGTATGGCATAGTGGGTAGGCTGTTGGACTAGGATCCTGGGGGGAAGTGGGTCCATATCTCCACTTCTACCATGGAAGCTCGCTGGGTGACCTTGGGACCATCACAAACTCTCAGTCTGGCATACCTCACAGGGCTGTTGCGAGAAAAGGGAGAACTCTGTCCCCAGCTGCTTTGAGAAAACCATGAAATAAATGCAAATGCACCAATTCCAGCAGAACAAATCCATGAGCCCCAGCTCACGGAACTCACTGCTGCAAGATATGGTCTGACAGTGGGACAAATCGGTAGAGGTGAGGCCCGTCAGTGGCCATAAGCCACGACACTGCATGGGTCAGGCTGCACCTGGAGAAACCATGAAATAAATGCAAATGCACCAATCCCAGCAGAACAAATCCAGGAGCCTGAGCTCACGGAACTCACTGCTGCAAGATATAGTCTGACAGTGGGACAAATCGGTAGAGGGGAGGCCCGTCAGTGGCCATAAGCCATGACACTGCATTGGTCACGCTGCACCTGGAGTATCGTGTGCTGTTCTGGAGGCCTCACTTCAAAAAGGAGGTGGACAGAACAGAGCAGGTGCAGAGGAGCGTGAGGAGGATGATCGGGGGCCTGGAGACCAAGAAGCCCTGTGAGGAAAGGCCGAGGGATGTGGGCAGGGGTCGTTTCGTGGAAAAAGAGCTAGGGGGACTCATTAGCACAACTCATTAGCATATGCCACACCCCCTGACATCACCGGAAGTGTGTCATAAGGCCACACCCACCACTCAGGTAGTCTTAGTCTTAATGGTTAGTCTTAAAGGTGCTATTTGAACTCTTGGACTGTTTTGCAGCAACAGACTAACACAGCTACCCGTTGCGTGGAAAAAGAGCTAGGGGGACTCATTAGCACAACTCATTAGCCTATGCCACACCCCCTGACATCACCGGAAGTGTGTCATGAGGCCACACCCACCACTCAGTTAGTCTTAGTCTTAATGGTTAGTCTCAAAGGTGCTATTTGTTAGTCTTAAAGGTGCTATTTGAACTCTTGGACTGTTTTGCAGCAACAGACTAACACAGCTACCTCGGGGAAGCTCCTGGATGGGGCTGGGAGTCCTTGCAGAGGCCACGTGGAGTGGCCTCGGCCAGACAGAGGGGGAGGACGCCAACTTACCCTTCTGCTTCTTCCTCCTTCTGCAACAGAATGAGCCCCCGCGGTCCCCCCCCCCCCAATCGACCTCTGGATGTGGGAATGTTCAGTTTGGAGAAGAGGAGATTGAAGGGCGATATGATTGCTCTCTTTAGGTATTCGAAGGGCTGTCCCTTAGAGGAGGGCAGGGAGCTGTTCCTGGTGGCAGCAGAGGAGAGGAGTCGCAAGAATGGGTTTAAATTAAGGGCGGGAAGGTACCAGCTGGATATCAGGAAAGACTTTTTTACAGTAAGAGTTGTGCAACAGTGGAATCAGGAGCCTAGGGAGGTGGTGAGGTCCCCGTCACTGGCAATCTTTAAGCAGCGTCTGGACAAACACTTGCCAGGGATGCTCTAGGCCAGGGGTGTCAAACATGCGGCCCGGGGGCTGGATCAGGCCCTCGGAGGACTGCAATCCGGCCCGCAAGGCCCTGGTTGTTTCCTGCTTCCTTTTCCTGTTCTGTTGCTGCTGCTACATCACAACTTACTTTGCCAGACTCTCTCAAATCACACAGGAGATAGATAGGCAAGCTTCTTCTGTGCGACTGAGAGTCTCGTAAAGCACTGACTGAGGCTCCTCCTCCCAGGGGGAGGGAGGGAACCAGCCAGAGCTTGCTTCCTGGCCAGGCTGCCTCAATCATATTCAGGAGACAAAGGGAAGCCTTTCTTTCCTTCCACTGGCTGCGGCTCCTTCCTGAACGCAGGCAGGCAGGCAGGGAACAAGGGAGAGCTCGCTTTGCTAGGCTACCTCAATTGCACGGCAGAAATACCAGGCACTTTTAAGACCAACAAAGTTTTGTTCAAGGTATGAACTTCTGTGTGCCTTGCTACAGTGTGTGTGTATTCTGTTGGGCTGCTTATGCTGCGTGTGTGTGTGTGTTTTGTTGGGCTCTTTATGGCAGGGCTCTCCTGGGTGCAACTGGGTTCCTTCGCCCTTTTCACTGTGTTTACGCCCTCATGATCCAGTCTTTCCCAGTAAGAAAGCAACGTGAAAGTTAATTGTGTTTGTCTGTGTCCTTTATAAAGTTTATATCTCCGCTACCGGGCATTACATTTTACGACACACATGGCCCGGCCCGACAAGGTCTCATTTATTTCAGATCCGGCCCTCGTAACAAATGAGTTCAACACCCCTGGCTCTAGGCTGATCCTGCATTGAGCAGGGGGCCTTGGACCAGATGGCCTGTATGGCCCCTTCCAACTCTGTGATCCTAGGATTCTACGACCTCCTTGTTCAGGGATAGTATATCTCTAAACACCAGTTGCCGGGGAGGGATTTCGCCTTCTAGCCCCGCTTCTGCGATTCCTGGGAGCCTCGGGCTTGCCGGTTAGAAACAGGATGCTGGGCTGGTCCCCTTCCGGCAGGGCTCACCACCTGTCCTCATGTAAAGGTGAGCGAAAGGACGGCCGCCTGCTCCATCGTGCAAAGCGGGTAAACGGAGCTCAATAAAAATCCCACAGGAAGACCAGGCCTCTGTGGTGCTGCTCCGGCCCGAGCCAGAAAACGTCACCGGGGCAGGCTCCCGACAGCACTGTTCTTAAAGCACCCCCAAAATCAGAAATGCAGCAAAAAGAAGTTCAGAAGGAGAGCAGCTTGTGCCTATGGCCAACAGCAGCTTTGGCAGACTGGCACCGACAGAGCAGATGGGCACCGGAGGGAGCCACGGGATGCATCACAGATCCCCAAAATCTCTGCAGGGAAACGGCTGCCAGGAAACCTGCTGGAATTCAGGGCAGGGACCTTGTTGGGGGGGGGGGGTGAAGCCCACATGGCACCCCCCCTTCACAGCACTGCCTCGAGGAACTGGGGGACCAGAGGGAGGGGAGTTGCTCCCCAGGATGGGTGCCCACTCAAAATCTCCTCAGCTGGGGAGAAAACCCCGTGCGCTTCTTCCTCACCCCGGCTTTGGCACACAGTTTCTCGTCAACAAAGTCTTCGCTTGGAGGTGGAGGGGCAAGGGAAGAGGAACCCGGTTTTTGAAAGGCCCTGGGCTTCCTTCCCCCCCTTCACCAGCCCACTGAGAAGAAAGCAGGCCTTTAATGAAAACCATTCCTCTTCTGGGCCTTGCCAGGATGAGGGCAGTCTTGCCAGGGCCTCCCATCCCCCAGACTAGCACATCAACTTTCACCCATGGGATTCAAGATATGGAAGCCACCCAACTGCCGGCTCCTTGGCGCACCACCAAAGTATCGGGTGATTATTTACATACATCCTCCATAACTTCCCCAAGCCCAGAAGTGATTAACACGTGGAATTCACGGCCACAGGAGGTGGTGGCGGCTACAAGCATGGACGGCTTCAAGAGGGAATTGGAAAAACATCTTGGGCAGAGGTCCATCAGTGGCTATGAGCCACAAGGTATAGATAGGAAATCTCAGTCTGGGGCAAGGGATGCTCTGTATTCTTGGTGCTTGGCGGGGGGGGGGGGCAACAGTGGGAGGACTTCTGGTGTCCTGGCCCCACTGCTGGACCTCCTGATGGCACCTGGCATTTTTGGCCACTGTGTGACACAGAGTGTTGGACTAGATGGTCCATTGGTCTGATCGAACATTGGCTTCTCTTATGTGCTACCCAATCCCTCAATGGACAAACCTTGTTCAAGTAGTACCCTGTTACTGAAATGGGGACAGATCTTTCAAGCATGGTGCATAATGCATGTTCCTCCTTCCAGACCCTTTGCTTAGAAGACATGCATTCATGTGCATTTCAACAACCCATCTGCACAGTCTTCTCATATTGACCCTGTCTCAAACTACTTGGAACAAACTTTGAGTCCAGTGGCACCTTTAAGAAGAACAAAATTTAATTCTGGATATAAGCTTTAGACCAACAATGCTACCCACCTGAATCTATCAAACTATTTGAGTTGGGTGGCCATGTTGCTCTGAAGCAATAGAATAAAGGTTGAGTCCAGTGGCACCTTTAAGACCAGCAAAGTTTAATTCTAGACATAATCTTTCATGGGCATGCACACTTCTTCAGCTATCTGAAGAAGTGTGCATGCACACAAAAGCTTAACACGAAAAGCTTGTGTCCAGAATTAAACTTTGCTGCTCTTAAAGGTGCCACTGGACTCAAACTTTGTTCTACTTGAGCTGGCAAGATGGGTAAGTAAGCCAAGCTACCCATGCAACTGAGGGTGCCCATGCCACGTTGCCTCCCAGCTGGTAGCATAGGTGTCAACTGGCATTCTCTTCTGGGCCCACAGTGAGAGACCATGAACTGGTCCTGGCAACAACGGCGTCTTGGCCCAGGACATAAGGACAGGGGGCATTGCCTGCATTGCTTAGCAACCAACCACCAGAGAAAAGACATCACCAGTTCTGGCCTAGCAGCTTAGCACAGCTTCCACAGAGCCTCGGAACACACCTTTCGACCATTAACCAGGCTCTGTGTTCAAGTGGTTGTCTGCCTGCACACACACCACACAACCAATGTAGCTTTGACACTCAACTTTGTACTGCTTCAAAAACAAGATCCAGCAAGACCGTTACCACAAAACCCAGAATTCATACATGTTTCATACACAAAACCAGATTTTTAAAATTTTTATTTCTCATCTTTTACAGTAAATCTGATACAGGCAATTAAATAATTCCGCAAATAAAAACAAAAACAAACAAACCCCAAAATAAAAAAAGAGTTAAAAAGCCAAGAATTTTAAGTTCCTCCCTTCCATTCATGCACAGAATGACTTCTCAAAGATGCAGCCTTAGAAGTTAAAAAGGGCAAAATTTATTAAAAAGAAAGAAAAACCTGTGTCGCCAAACTTTTACTTTCTTTCAAACACACTTGTTTTGTTGAAACAAATATTAACCAAACCGGGGGCGGGGGGAGGGGGAACCAGGCAGGCAAGGATCTACAGAAGCAAAAACCTCCGTCGGTTAATTAAGGTGGCCAAAGAGACCGCTACAGGGTTTCATTAACATTCCCCCCCCCCCCCCAGCTATGGCAGAAACAGGGGTTTTTTTTTTTTTTTTAATATTACCCTTAGTGCAAAGTGTCACTATGAGAACAGATTCAAACAACTGTACACTGAAAAAAAACCAGAGTCAGTAGATCCTATTTAGAAAAAGAGGGAGGCCGAGGGTTAGAGAGTTAAGACCAGCAGGCTTAGCCACCGCAGCTGCCGTGACAATATCTTTTGCTAGGAAATCAAAATGGCCACTCTTCACGGTCACATCTTTCGTCCACCATTCCAAAATGTGGCCTACAATCAAAAAATTATATATCCCAAGCTAGCCTGGGCATCGGCGGCGGCAGCCATTTGGGGCTTTTATGCCCAATGGTACCATTTTGTGATTTCAGGCTCGTATTCCACAGCTGCTTTGTTCAACAGGAAAGATCCACCGTTCCGCCATCCTTACTGACAGGACTGGCCTGTGACAAAATGGCTGCCATTCTACAAGAAGCAGATCAGGATTAACGATGATGGCCGCTTTGTTCTTTTCAGAGCTTTGCCCCATGACGGCGGCCATTTTGCTTCTTAGCCAACACACACACAAAAAGCCACTTGGTACCTCCGTTGTCGACAGTCATTTTGCACGCTATGACAACCACAAGTTCTTTTGGGAAGACAAAATGGCTTCCAACAGTCGGCAAAACCGAACCACTCAGCTCGGCAGGGCCAAAATATCCACTATTCCTTGTGGACAGCTAGGAAAATGACAGCCCACACCCAAGCACCCCCCCTTGTACCAAACCTCCATCACAGAAGCTATTTTAATAGGGATCCAGGAGAGACCTAAATGGGCACAAAAGATCAGGGAGTGAGGGGGATTGTGTGAGGAGGAGGAGGAGGAAGTGTGCGGAAAGGTGCATGTGTGTGTAAGCACAGGAAAACAGAGGACTCAGCAGTACCTTAATTTTTAATATATATAAAAAATAACTATATACATTTATTATTATATTAGGAAATCTCTGGGGAGGGTTCAGGGGGAAGGGTCACATAGCCTCTGACCTCCCCACAGGCCTTACGCAGGGTGGGAAGGGTAGGGAAGCGAGTAATGTGGTTAGAACGAGCCGAGTAGCATTCCAGATGGTGGCTGGAGGGGAAGGGGGGGGGAGAGAAGGCCGGGGCGGATGAGGGGTGGCCGGAAGGAAGCCAAGCCTTCAGGTTGAGGGAGCTGGGATTGTCTAGTAGCATAGGTTAGCGACCCTCAGGGTGAGCAGCATTGTCGAGACGGCCCCCCCAGCCCCACACGCCCACCATCGTCACCCCCCCCTTTGCTTCCACATCAACGCACCCACCCTCTTAGGCACCATCCTGGCAGGGGACAGAGCCTGGGCGGGAAAGTTAGCTTCCGAGGGCGCTGGGGGTGTGGGGGGTCGTGGAGGGGCCAAGAGAAACTCAATCCCTGTTGACCCGGATCTTGAAGGAGACGCGCCCGGCGAACTTGTCCCGTTCGTCGGTCGTGGCGATGTTGGCGGCGTTCACCCTGCACTCCACGTGATGGTCGAAGTTGGCCGTGAGGTTGAGGAACTTCACCGCCACCACCGGCTGCGTGTAGTTCACCTGGGGGCGGAATCGCAGGAGGGGAGAAAGGGAAGCGGAAGCGTGAGGACATGGGAGGCGCTGGCAGAAGTCAGGCCCGATTCTAACCCTTCTTTTCACAAAACAAGGACCAACATGGGGTGAACTGCAAAAGCCAGCCAGAGTCTTGGTCCAAAAAACCAGCTTGCTAAACCCACAACTTCACTTCAAGTTTAAGGCACGAGCAAGGGTTCTTGTTCTAGTTCTTTGTTTAGAGGGGAGAGCAAAGTTGCTTCCTGGTGGAACTTTCCCAACCTCAGGGTGCTGTAAGCAACAAAACACAACCGTGATATACAATAACTATATCTTTGCATTGTCAAACCTTAGTGCAACTCCTTCACCTTTTGACCATCAACAAAAGTTTCTATTTACAAACATTCCACCAAACTTCTAAGGGTGAATGCATGCCAATAGGTAAGTTAATGCAAACAATCCTATTTTGCCGTCCATTCTTCCTTTTCCTTCTTTTCCACGTTACAGTTTTACATAGCTATGTCTTAGTTTTATAGTTTTATGGACCACAAAATAAGACTGTTTGCATTAACGTATCTACTGGCGTGCATGCATTCTTAGAAGTTTGGTGGAACGCTTGTAAATAGAAACTTTTGTTGATCGTGAAAGGGTGAAGGAGTTACACTAAGATTTGATAGTACAAAGACATAGTTATTATATCGCAGTTATATTTTGCTGCTTACCATTCCAACCAATGCTCCCTGTAAGCTGTGGAGTCTTGTGAGCAAGAACTCCACTTTGTGAGCTACTGGCGTGAAAGTAGTAAGTGAGCGATTTGGCTGCTGCATAAATTAGTTGGCTCTGGAACCCTCCTTCCTGAGCCAAGATGAAAATGTGTGAGCCGGAGGCTAAAAAACTGTGGGCTAGCTCACACTAACTAAGCTTAGAGGGAACATTGATTGCAACCCGTGACCTCATACTTTTAACCTCAGGGCGTTAGCTGGAAATCTCCCAGAATTACGACTGATCTCCAGAAGACTGTTCCCCTGGAGAAAATGGCTGCTTTGGAATCCTCTATGGGGATTATACCTTGCTGACAGCCCTCCCCTCCCCAAACTAGGCTCCACCCCCAAGACCTCCAGGAATTTTCCAACCCAGACCCCAGCACTAAAAAAGAAGAAGAGATTGGATTTATACCCCACCCTTCACTACCCAAAGGAGTCTCAGAGCGGCTTACAAACTCCTTTCCCTTCCCCTCCCCACAACAGGACACCCTGTGAGGTAGGTGGGGCTGAGAGAGCTCTTTCAAGGACTGCTCTTGAGAGAACAGCTCTTATCAGAACTACGGCTTGCCCAAGGTCATCCAGCGGGTGCAAGTGGAGGAGCGGTTCTCAAACCCGGTTCTCCCAGATTAGAGCCCGCGCACTTAACCACGACACCAAACTGTTATCTCAAGGACAATTCTGGAAAGGGCTCTCTCAGCCTCCCCTACCTCACAGGGAGGGTGTCTGTTGTGGGGAGGGGAAGGGGAAGGAGATTGTAAGCCGCTCTGAGACTCCCTTGGGTAGTGAAAGGCAGGGTATAAATCCAATCTCCTCTCCTCTTCCCTTCCCCTCCCCACAACAGACACCCTGGGAGGTGGGCAGGGCTGAGAGAGCTCTGAGAGAAACTGCTCTTTTTCAAGGACAGCTGTGCCAGAACTATGGCTTGCCCAAGGTCATCCAGCAGGTGCAAAGTGGAAGAGTGGGGAACCAAACCTGGTTCTCCCAGATTAGAGTCCGTGCTCTTAACCAAGACACCAAACGGTCTCTCAGAATCAGCCCAACTCTGTGCTGTTCACACAACTCCCTCACTAGCATCCTGCTGCTCTGGAAAAGGTGACGGCACCAAGACACGCAAGACATCGGCAACCACTTTCCTAGGCGTTTAAAGGGAGTTCCAAGGTGGTCAGACATTCACAGTGGTTGGAATGGAATTCTCAGAACCCCAGCATGCACTTGAGGAAGACAATAGACTCAATACTTACATGGACTCTTTTCCCATAGTAAGGGAAGTACATTAAGTCAATGTTCCCATTGGCAGGGAACATCTCGATGTCTCCCAGTTTCTGGGCATCTTCCTCCTTCTGTGGGGAGGAAGGAAAAGTGTCAGATGTATAGTTCGTCCCCTGCCTTTTGCACCCATATGTAATATTATGGGGTACCTTAATCACGTCCCTTATGTGGATGGCCCAAGGCTAGCCTGATCTCATTGGACCTCAGATGTTAAGCAGAGTTGTCGTTGGACGGGAGACCACCTGGGAGGTCCAGGGTTGGTCCACAGAGGCAAGCAATGGCCAACCACTTCTGGACATCTCATGGCTTGAAAACCCTCCAGGGCCACCATAGCTTGGTTACAACTCAATGGCACCTTCCCGCACCAATCACCTCCACCCAACCTAAGCTTGCTAACATCTGGCACAGTCCCCTCCATTCACGTTGGCTGCCTACTTCACTACGCTCATCTCCCAAACCCTTCTGGCTACAAACACCTCAGTGTCCCACAATGCCCCCCCTCCCTCACCAGTCACCCCAACCCTCCAAAGGCCCTCCCCCAAATCCCATCTGACATCACTCTTACTATTTCTTCCAGGGGGCCTTTTTTCTGTTGATGGAAGTGAAGAAGGAAAAAAGACAGAATGAATAAGCAAATGGAGAGGAAGAAAGGAAAAAGAGAGAGTAGCAATGAAAAGATCCAGTCTCTAAAAGGGCTGTAAGAACATAAGAGACGCCAATGTTGGATCAGGCCAAAGGCCCATCCAGTCCAACACTCTGTATCACACAGTGGCCAGAAATACCAGGTGCCATCAGGAGGTCCACCAGTGGGGCCATACCCTGCAACTGTCCCACCTAGACAGAATTTCAAGTTTCCCTCAAAATTTGGTATGTTTAATGCAAGCCCAACGTTCATTTAGAGAAACAAGTTTCTATCCCTTAAGGCTGGGGTGTCAAACATGCGGCCCGAGGGCCGGATCAGGCCCCCAGAGGGCTTCTATCAGGCCCGCAGCAGTGGAACTGGCTGTCTTCTGCTTCTTCTTCCAGTTCTGCTGCTGCTACGTCATCGTAGGTTTGCTGCTTACAGATACACACCTGAACAGCATACTCAAGACTGCAACAGTACAGACATTTTGATGCAGTAATTCAGAGCAAGAGGTGTCAGTTATCCGACACTGTTAATGCTGATGGTTTAAGCATGTTTTTATTTTAAGTACAAAAAGCCCTTTGTGTTTGTGTCCTTTGTAAAGTTTATATCTCCGCTACCTGGCATTACCTTTTATGACACACACGGCCCTGGCCGACAAGGTCTCATTTATGTCAGATCCGGCCCTCATAACAAATGAGTTCGACACCCCTGCCTTAAGGTTGAAAAGACATTGGCAAGCATTGCATAGGCTCAAAAACCACAGTAGCTGCTGAGCAGGAAGTATTTTTGGTGGAACTCTATTTTGGGAGGGGTAGAGGAGAAGTTTACCACCCCTCTCCCCATTGATTAGCAATCTGCCAAAAAAAGCACTGAAATATATTGGATTTATGTACACCTCAAAGTGTTTAAGCACAGAATACACACAGCCTTTGATTACTGGGAAAAGGGATAGTACTAATAAAAGAGCAGAGGATGCCCTGCAGTTATGGGGAAACCCCCCCCCCCCCCCGTTTTCTCAGTCTATTTTACATTACTCTGGAGCTACAAGACAGGAAGGTTGTTGACTACAGACCTTCTAATATTTCTGTTTTCAGTAGAGAAAAAACAGGAACAATTCCTTGGGCCCCACCCCAGAAAGCGGAGTAGTGCCAGTTGTGTTTTATAATCCAGAGGGAAGGAAGTGAATCTTTCCCAAGGAGAACAGATCTCCTCAGCAACACAACCCATAAGGGGAACCAGGTGGCTTGGATCCCAGAGAGACAAATCCATTACCGGTGACACTCGAAGGCCTCTCCAATCCTAGCAAAAGCCAGCCGGTAGTGATCCCGTTTTCGCAGAGCTCGGTCAGCTCCCTCAAGAAGGGAGACATTTTTTAAAAGCCACCGTTGTTCGAGGTTTTGCACTACTGAAAAGGGACAAAGTGGCCGATGTTCCACCGGGACCCAAAGGCAGGGAGTGGGAGATATAAAAGAACGGCATCGGAAACACATCGGAAAAGTCACGGCTCTCTGTGGGAGATGACATTGGGAGGGGGAAGAGTGCCACAAAAAAGGGAACTGCGGGAAAGTTGCTTGGAACGGAAGAGACACGTATTACAGGAGTGTACAGAACCTGGTTGCGAGAACCAGAACTACTGGGAGCAGGGAGACCAATCAGGCCAGAAAGCCGAAGCAGTCGAGATGTGGGACTCCTGGATTCCGCCACCGTCTCCAAAAAGTGACACCCACCACCCGGTGGGCAGCATCTTCCTAAGCACTGCTAGATTGGTCAGCCCATCTTTGTGGAGAGATGGGCCCTTACCTTGGTCATAGATTTGAATTTCTGAAGGGACGGGGTTTTGTTTTGTTTTTTTGTTGTTGTAGTAGTTGTAAAGAGAGGAGGAGGTAAAATGAAAGGAGGAGTTAGCAGAATGAAATGAGTAGCTGGCGGAAGACCAAAAAAAATAAGAGGCGGAGAGTAAGGAAACCGGACACGCTCCCAGGTTTTACCTTTGACGAGCAGGTGATGTTCATGGTCTTGTTGGCGCCTGCAAAAAAGTTGATGACCTGGAAAGAGAAGACGGAGGGAAGAGAAAAGGTTGACGCTTGAGTTGGCCTTCCCATAATTCTAACCCCACCCTGGTTTTAAAAAAAATAAACAGAAGAGTGAAAGCGGGGATAGGCCAACATTTGCAGGAAGCTCTGCTCCTCGCACTGGGAAAGGCCAACATTCTGCCAAAGGCACACCATGAAGCTAGGAGTCAGCAACTGGAGGCTCTTCTGCCAATCCTGGCCCCTGAAGACAGAAAGGCCTGGCCCCTCCAGCTGCCCTATACCAAAGGGGACCCTGGGTACATCACAGTCACTATTGCCTTCTCAACCGGCAGTAGCTCTCCAGGGTCCCAGGCAGAGAAAGGTCTTTTCCATCAGCTCCTGCCGGGTCCTTTAACTGGAGATCCCAAGGACTCTGGTTAGACCTCACCTAGAGTATCGTGTTCAGTTTGGGGCACCACAATTTAAGAAGGAGATAGACAAGCCGGAACGTGTCCAGAGGAGGGCAACGAAGATGGTTGAGGGGTCAGTTTGGTGTAGTGGTTAAGGGCGCGGAGAACTCTAATCTGGGAGAACCGGGTTTGATTCCCCACTCCTCCACTTGCACCTGCTGATGTGACCTTGGGTCAGTCGCAAGCTCTGGCACAGCTGTCCTTGAAAAAGAGCAGTTTGTGTCAGAGTTCTCTCAGCCCCACCCACCTCATAGGGTGTCTGTTGTGGGGAGGGGAAGGGAAAGGAGTTTGTAAGCCGCTCTGAGACACCTCTGGGTAGTGAAGGGCGGGGTATAAATCCAATCTCTTCTTCTCTTCTCTTCTCATCAAGTGAAAGTGGTGAATCACTTCAGCTCATGGGTACAAACACTTCAGCAGCAAGACTATGTTAATGAAATCCAGAATGCAGTGGGTAAGCTTCAGAATCTCATTGGAACAGGCTTCCTTGGGAGGTGGTGGGCTCTCCTTCTTTGGAGGTCTTCCAACAGAGGCTAGATGGCCATCGGACAGCAATGTGAACTTGGGCAGATCACGAGAGAGAGGGCAGGAAGGGTCGCCTCGGTGCTTAGTTCTCGTGGCCCTTTCTTACACGCCCAGGGAAATGCTGATCGCCACTTTGGGGTCAGGAAGCGGTTTTTCTCCAGGCTAGTTTGGCCGAGGATCTTGGAGGTGTTTTTTTTTTGCCATCTTCTGGGATGGGCATGGAGCAGGGGGTCACTGGGGTTGCGGGGGGAGGTAGCTGTGAATTTCTTGCACTGTGCAGGGGGCTGGACTAGATGACCCTGGAGGTACCTTCCAACTCTATGGTTCTGTGACGGAACTTGGGACCTTCTGTATGCCGAGCAGATGCTCTACTGCAAGGGCCACAGTCTCTCCCCATACTAAATTAGACCCCACTCAGACTATTAGTGGCTCTCGAGATCCCAGGCTGCGGTCTTTCACCATCACCTCCTGCCTGATCCTTTCAGCTGCAGATGCCAGGGATTAAACCCGGGACCTTCTGCCTGCCAAGCAGGTGCCCTTCCACGGAGCCACAGTCTCTCCCCTGAAGCCGTCGACACTAAAGTAGACCCTTGTTTCCATCCAAGGTCAGTACCGAACCTGGAAACATCTGCACGCCAAGCAGAGGCTCTTCCACTGAGCCACAGCGCCTCTCCTGCCCCACACGCAAAGGGATGTGAATGGCAAGGGAACCGGTTGGCAGGCCCCATGAGGGGGCGGGGCATTAGGGCACTGCCACCTTCACCCCCAAGTAGAGGAGGCACTAACAAGGGCTACAGCCACTCCCAGCATGGGCAGCTGAAACTGGGGATAGAACCCACAAGTTTGGGCCACCCTCGGGGGGGGGGGTGTCTCCCACACCCGGGCCACCTACCCGGTTCATTTTGATGAGGACGCACGGGCGGCCTTCCCGGTAGCCGTAAGTGGTGTCAACGAGGCCGGAGCAGTTCCCCAGCATGGTGCGGTTGAACTGGCAAGCCCGCTTGGGGTGGTTCAGAACCCCGTTGTCCGGCTGCACAAAGTAGCGTCCTGGGACGCAGAGCTCGTTGTCGGCCGCTTGCCGGGAATCGTTGTAATCTGCAAGAGACGAGGGAGCGGATCAGTGCCAAGCGGTAGCGTTCAGCTTCAAGGTCCCCGGGGCCAGCGGCATTCAGGGCTCACCTGGAAAAGACATTTAGAATTCTCCTTTTCTTCCAGGTTTGGCGGAGCCGGTTTGGTGTCGTGGTTAAGTGCGCGCACTCTAATCTGGGAGAACCGGGTTTGATTCCCCACTCCTCCACTCGCAGCACCTGCTGGATGACCTTGGGCAAGCCATAGTTCCGTCAGAGCTGTTCTCTCAAGGACAGTTCTGGAAAGAGCTCTCTCAGCCCCACCTACCTCACAGGGTGCCTGTTGTGGGGAGGGGAAAGGAAAGGAGTTTGTAAACCACGCTGAGACTCCTTTGGGTTGGGAAGGGCAAGGTATAAATCCAATCTCTTCTTCTTCAGGTTCTGCTAGCCTGGAATCCTCCCGAGCCAACACCACTCCACAGAAAGCCCACCAGCTCCCCCCACTAATCCCCTAGCAACTTTATCCAAAGGTATTCTGCCCCTGAATATGGAGGCTCAATTTGCTGAGAGGGGTTATGGCTGATACTGGAGCTAACTTATCTGAATGTTTGTTTACTTCATTTATTCTCCGCCTTTCTGCCCGGTTGGGATCCCAAGTGGCTTACGGCATTCTCCTCTCCTCCACTCCATCCTCACAACAACCACCCTGTGAGGTAGGCTAGGCTGAAAGGGCGTGACTGGCCCAAGGTCACCCAGCAGGCTTCCATGGCAGAGCAAGGATTCGAACCTGGGTCTCCCAGATAGTCACACACTCTTAACCATGACACCAGACTGACTCTCTTAATTGATTCAACCAATTTTTAAAAACCAATTCCCTCCCCTTCTTCACAGCCATCGGAGCCAGGGGCTTTCAGTACATTCTCCGGAGTCGGTGATTCAGAGAAGTCTCTAACCATTGGAGACCATGCATCATTCAACACAATCTGGGTGTATGATTCAGGTGGGTCGCCATGTTAGTCCGAAGCAACACAACAAAGTTCAGAGTTCAGTGGCACCTTTAAGACCGACCAATTTTAATTCTGGGTAGAAGCTTTCAGGTGCATGCAACCAAGGTTAATTCTTGGTATAACGTTTCGTGTGCATGCAACCAACCTTTATAAGCTTTCATGCGCATGCACACTCCAAAGAAAGTTCGAGTCCAGTGGCCCCTTTATGACCAACCAAGTTTAATTCTGGGTGTAAGTTCCCATGTGCATGCACACTTCTTCCAAGTATGTGTGCACATGAAAGCTTGTACCTAGAATTAAACGTGGCTGGTCTTAAAGGCGCTGCTGGTCTCAAATTTAATTTGGATGTACATTAAGCACCAACCAAAGGGGGCCAAATATAAACAGAAGGTAAGCAGATGACCCAGCCCAGAAGTGCAGGCAATGCCCAAATTATTTATTTATTTATTTATTATTCAAATTTACATCCCGCCCTCCCCAACGGGCTCAGGGCGGCTAACAATAAAGGCACAAAACCATGGTAAAACAGTTAAAGTTCATAGTTCCAAGATGGGTTCTGGAAGATGGATCCAGAACAACGAAGCAGGTTCCTGGACGATGCTGCCTTCCGATCTTCGGCCCGGGGCCATCATGCACCCCGATGGCATCCCCGCTCTTTGCGGTAGCGGTGCAGTGCTGGTACAGTGGCGGCGGCGGCTCCTACTCAAAAGCCTGGTGAAAGAGCTCCGTCTTGCAGGCCCTGCGGAACTGCACAAGGTCCCGCAGGGCCCAGATTTCCTCCAGGAGCTCATTACACCAGGTAGGAGCCGCCACCAAAAAGGCCCTGGCCCAGGTCACAGCGAGTTTGACGTCCCTGGGGCCTGGGGTAACCAAAAGATGTTGGGCCCCCGACCGTAGTGCCCTTGGGGGAGCATATGGGGAAAGGCTCAAAGATTTTTTAAAAAACCAATTTGACTTGTCCACCCCACCTGCACCAACCATCCAACAAGCTTCCACCCAACAAGCTTCCTTAGTATTTACACAGAGCTCTGGAACACTCAAAGGCGTTTGTATGTGTTACACTGTGTATGCCGATACTGCCAACGGGAGGCCGAAAAGCATGGCTTGCTGAATACCACCAGGCATGTCTGTGGCATGGGCGAAATTCAAATCGGGGTAGGGCTGCCAAATCCCCCCGGGGGGCGGATTTCCCCCCGCTTTGGAGGCCCGATTTCCGCCCCTGCGGAAACCCCACCCCCGCGTGCACGTCACCCAGATGTGACGTCACACGCTGGGGGCGGGGCCACAGCCATTTGAGGGGGAAAGCTCCCAGCGTGCCCGGCGTCATGACGTCACATCCGGGTGACGTAGTAGATGCAGCGCGCACGCACCAGGAGCTACCCAGGAGTTCCCCGCCAAGGAGGTGAGTGCCATTTGGCAACCCTAAATCGGGGACTTCCTGTAGTTCAATATCTCCACCATTTGTTCTTGGCATACCTCCAGCTGACAGTACACAAAGACTCAGGTATAACTAGTTGTACAAGGGAGTGGAAACTCTCGGCCCAAACGGAGAAAGTGGTTTTTGGAAATGGACACTGGTAAATTTCGCACAGGAAGGAGTACTGCGGGTTACTGGCCTGCTTGCGCACTCACTACAGCCAGGGGGCGCCGTTGCACACCAACAACCTAGCATGAAGGTCCAGCAGAGGTGGGGGGGCCCAACAGTGCATCATGCTACAGTCAGGAACTCTGCCCCCCTCTCCGCTGCATTAGAGTTGCCAGGTCCCCTCACCATGCCGATGGGGAGATTGGGGGGGGGGGGCATTCAAGGATATGCCCAACATCAGCAACACTCTGGTATGAGGGCAAAACTCTATGGCCTTAGGCCAAATTTACCATAGAGTTTTGCCTGCAAAGCACAGTATCCCTGTGCAAAGTCCCCAATGTGATGAAGTGTCATCACATTGGGGACGTGGCTGTTTGGGGGTGGGGTTTCCCCCACCAGCCACCAGGCCGGCAGTGGGCTGAAGCCCCGAAAACCGGGGAACCTC